GGGCAGTTTCACTCGTGGTTAGAGGCTAGCAATAGGAGGAAGCCCGTTCGCAGAGACAATACATGGGCAGTTTTGCCACTGCGCGGTTCTCTTTTCAGCTGACTTCCTTGAATAAGACGCCCTTCAATTTTGAGCATAAGGATTTTAGAAAAAAGTATCGTCTTATAGTCGGAAAAATACGGTACTACTTACAGCCTAATGAAATCACCCTACAAATATCAAACAACAGGGCAAATAGAGGACAATGGCTAACTACTGATGATGAAGATGATCAACTACCAGGCTTTAGGTCAGGGTCTACACAAGCATATATATTCAAGATAAAAGGCGGGCCTCGGGGATTATCCATACTTGCCAAGGCAGAATTGGGCTGCCAAGGACAGGAACTGGCTATTCAGTTCTATCTTCTAGCTATTCAGTTTAAATACAAATCATCTGAAGTTGTGCTGCTAAATGTATATCTATCCCATATTTCTCTCCCTGCTTCTCTCCTGACATCTGGGTGCAATTAGAAAAGACAGTCTTAAAGTTAAATATAAAACAACTCAAAGCCATTGTGATCCTACTGGGAAACTTTAACACTTGGGTGGGACTTCCTTGCATGATTATTCCCACTTGGGCATCATACCGAAGGACTATTTATCAAATGACCAACCCTGGTACTCTACAGACTCTAAAAGGAACTCCAAGCTGATCTCTTTGAACTATACATGCGATCTTCATATCCTAGGAGGCAAAGACAGTTGGTTCATATATCCCTTTACTTTCCATGCTGGGAATGCAAGCAGTGTCCTGGATTACATATGTGTCTCAACAGACAAAACTGACTTATTCTGAGACATTCAAGTTTACATGAGGAAGGACAGTGACCATCAACCAATTGCAGTGAACTTTTACTCGCTAACCTTGAAGTGAGGCAAGCTAGGAAGCTCAAATGGTCTAAGGTGGACACCAGGACAACTGCCAGCTTTATGAACTCTGAGAAGGCTCAATCCTGGGTGAAAATAGTTGTTACACCTACTCAAGACCCAAATGGGATTTTTGCCAGGTACGCTAATCTGTGTTACATGTTAAGAAACTTTTTAATAGAAAAATTGCCAGCTAGGAACCAACAGCCCATAAGATCTAATTGGTTCAACCCTAAAAGCAGCTATGCGTTTGGTTCAAAAAAAACCCCACACCAAACAATCATGCCAAGATGTTAAAGCTTAGATGCTATTAAAAGAGACTAATAGCCACTAAGAAGGCTCAACACCAGCTACAGTTTGGTCTGAGCTAGAAAAGTCAGCAAAAAGGTCCAAGTCAGTCATATTTTAGAACATTGTATCTGGCATGCTGAAGGAACGTAAGCTATAGTTTGGGAAGATTTTTATACTAACTTATTTGCCAACTTCAAGCAGGATCATCCAGAAATCCTACTGAGTCTCTGACCCTTGATAAGCTCCCTCGCTGGCCACCAGTATCAGTGACAGATATTAAACGTGTTATTCAGTCACTGAAACTCAGTAAGGCACTTGGTGAAGACTTCCTAACCCCAGAACTTTTCAGGACACACATTGACTGATGGGCTTCACTGTTGGCAGGGCTGTTTACATATATAGATAACGCTGGCCATATCCCAGCAGGTTGGGAACTCTCCATCATAGTTCCCATACACAAAAAAGGAGACAAGACCCCCAAAATCTGTAAGCCTTATTGATATAACCGTTAAGATGTATGCAAAACATCTCTTGAGAAATATAGAGGATAGGGCGATTGAGAAGAATATATTAGTGGAGGAACAGGCTGGGTTCAGACCTGGGTACTCCACATAAATACTTGCTTTGTTCTACACCATCTTATTACCAAATATACAACAGATGGTAAATATCTTTTTACATCTTTCATAGATTTTAGTGTGGCACTTGACTCCATAAATAGAGACATCTTATGGGAGAAGCTTGCCAAACTATGGAACCTAGTTTTCTATACCTGGTAAAGGTCCTGTATACAAATACATGCTGGAGTCAATGGCTCTGTTATACTGAGCATACCCACTTACAACGGTGTCAGACCTTGGCCCCGATGTTGTTTAATCTTTATGTTAATGACATCCCAGGATTTTCTCCATTCTATGGATGTTCATATGCCAAAGACATATCAACATCCTTTTGTATGCTGATGACATGGTTCTGATGGCACTCTCCCAAGTAGGCCTGAGAAGATTGATGGGGAAATTTGGTGCCTATTATGCTTCAAACTTTTTGAATATGAATAAGACTAAATCCAAAGTGGTGATTTTTGAAAAAAAGACAGCCCAAATACAATTGGCACTTGGATGGGAAGCCTATAAAACAAATAGATTCCTTCTCATATTTAAGTGTATTTTTTACAGATAAAGGGTCTTGGACCAACCACTTCAAACAAAGTTCTAAAAAGGCAACAGCAAGCTCTAAAATGCTAATTAAACTACTTAGTTATAACCACCCAAGCATTCTGCTCCCCATTTTAAGGTCCACAAGGCAAAAATTGTACCAAAGCTAACATATGTCACAGATCTGTAGGGCCTATCAAAGGCCTCCTTACACAAACAAAATCAAGCACACCTTTTAAGAACTATTTTGGGGACTGACAGGAATACGCCTGCAGCAGCAGAAAGAGCTGAAACAGGCACCCACTTCACTTATAGTCTAACAGTAATCAAAGTCTTTAATTACTGATGGAAGACCCTCTTAATGGAACCTGATAGACTACCAAAAATGTGCCTTGAAGAACAGATGAGCATACTTCAACCCACCATATGGATCAATCAACTTCTCCAAATCATCTCTCATCTCGGCTTCTCAACACAATATCTATTCTCACCCACACATCAGGCCGAAGCAATGTTCAAACAAAGAGTCCTGGATGTTAATGCCCAAACCAATATTGAGTCACTTGCAAATACTAGGTCATTGAAATGGCTGGCCAAAATAAAACGTCCTTTCAAACACAGAAATACTTGACAATGGGTTTGACCCAATACCATAGGATAGCCCTTACCAGAGCAGGATTCAAGCAGCTAGATTCTATGGTCAAATACAGACAATTTCACAAAGTGCCATATTTTGAGAGAACATGTGTTTGTGGAACATCAGAAATAAGATTATCTTATTTCCTTCAGGGCACAAACATATATGTAGTCACTAGAACTGTTAAGTTCATAGTCAGGGCTGTCCAACAGAGAACATGTTTTATAGGACATTGGGGTTGCATGCAAAGGTGATGAATTCATCTAAACAAACACTGTTTTTGAATTTTAATATGCATCTTACTATATATCTCTTTATTCTATTTTATCTTATACTATTTTATCTTACTCTTTTGTCTTTATTTTATCTTACTTCACTAGATTTTATTTTATTCTACCATACTGTAGTCTATTTTAACTCATTTTACTGTATCTTACCTTACCTCATTTTGTTGTATCTTACTGTGGCTAATGCCCATGCCTTGATATGGTCAACTGACTAATCAATAAAGTCTGTCTGTCTGTCTGTCTGTTGTCAGTTAATACTGGGACTTACAAAATGACACAAAATGTTATAACATTGGAAACATTAAAGAAAATCTTTGAAGAATGGAGCCAGAAATTAGTAATTACAATATCAACACTGTCAGTAATGATGCCTGCTTCTATGGATAAACTATGTCCAAAATGAAGGAACGGCAGATCTAGAACAAATTTTATCTGACAAGACAGAGAAAGTACTGAAAATGGAACTACAAATGACAGGCCAAGAGAATGATTTGGAAAAGGATGCTTTACTGGATATACAAAAGAAACAGGCTGAAGTTTTAAATATTAAAAGAGAAATACAAATGATAAGAGAAAGTACTGAAAATGGAACTACAAATGACAGGCCAAGAGAATGATTTGGAAAAGGATGCTTTACTGGATATACAAAAGAAACAGGCTGAAGTTTTAAATATTAAAAGAGAAATACAAATGATAAACTAAGAGAATGACCTGGAAAATGTTTTCTTATTGGATTTACAAAAGAAGCTTGTTAAAGCTTTGAAGAGAAATCTGTGTGATGGAATAAAGATGAATTGAAGAGAAATCAAATCCTATGACAATATTTGACTGAATTAAAGATTAAGACTGTTAGAAGTAAAAGGAAGGAATATAAAGTTGGTTTATTTGATCAAGGTTAAAATAATACTT